CGCGTATTTGAAGAGACCTAAGTACTGCGGTTGTTCGAAGAACGGACAGCGTGCAATGAGCAGGTGGTCCTCTGGCAGGTTCTCGAGACATGCTGTTTTCCACTGCTCGACGGGGGGGCAAACAGGGCAACAAAATTGTAAACCATGAATGGATCTCCGATGAGGCCCCCACATCCTGGTCGTATCATCGTCGGCTCCTCCTGATCCCTGCATGGCACTGTGAACGCACACTGTCTGTACCTCTGCTCCCCGACCTCCCACAACTCCTGTGGTAGCAGTGTCTGCGTAGCAGCGTCCATCCCCGTCCAGTGCCCACTCGCAAAGGCACTCGTCATGTCCTTCATCACTAATGAGTAGGACGCCCCTGCCCTGGAGAGCCTGTCCTGGGTGACCAAGCTGGCTAGTACTGCCCCCCCCGTCTCCTTCCCTTCACAAAGCCGTAGTCCTCGTCCCTCCAAGGTCGTCCAGCTCCTCTCTCTAGTTGGGCGGCATAGTAGCATTTGCCTAAGGGGTCCAGGACGTGGTAGACTCGCTTGCCTTGGGGTCCGAGTTTCCCGTTCTTTCTGACAGCGGTGGCCTCACTGATGTGCCAACTAACTGGGGTCTTCTTTTGGACACGAATCTGTCGGAAGGCTTGTTCGAGTTGGATTCTGAAGCTCCTGGGAAAGACCTTGCCCCTCTCCGTGCCCACGCCAGCTCTGTCTTGGACCTCAGGGGGTCTAGTGAGCAGCATGCGCCAAGCCTCTGCTGGGGCCGAGCCCAGGGGGTGTGCCCTTCGGAACCCCGTACGGTACAACTTGCGTGCCACACGTTTCATGTCGTCCTTGGCGCCGTCTATGGCCTCGTTCAGGGCTGCAAAGTCTAGGGGGTAGGTGGTGTTCCTCGACTCCTCGAGCATCTCCTCCCTCGTAGTGGGTGCAGCCTCCATACCCCCCTGTCCTCCAGGCAATCTCCAGAATTCCTCCCATTCCTGTCTGGTCGGCATGCTCGTCATCACACTGCGGTAGTTGCGGCGTCGTGGTCCCAACTGCGTGCCCGCAAGTAACCGACTGAGACGTCCCACCTCTGCTAAATCCCTGCGCCTCCAAGCTGCCCACATCTCCTCCGCCCTCTCCGCTCCGATCCGCTGCTGCGCCTCTCTCCTCATCCTCGCACACTTCTTGGTCAGGGCTTTAAGGCGGGAAGCTACATTGAGCATCTGTTGTTCGGTGCCCTCTCCCTGGAGCTCTCGAAGGTCTCGTCGCTTGGTGAGGAGTGCCTGGCGGTCCTGCTGGAGTCGGTGATACGTGTCATCCCGCGCAGTATCCTTACATAAGTGTTTCTCGGCCAATCTACAGACAATCTCAGAGAGGGCTCCAATGGTGTCGTTGCTATCGCCCTGCCTCCTGATCTCGTCCAGCTCCTCCTCCCTCCTAGCGACCTCCTCCTCCACCTCCTTAACGAAGTCGGTCCTACCCACATTTCGGCGCACCCCTTCTACCAGAGCCTGTCGGTTCCACCTGGGTCGTTGTCTGGCTTTCGAGTAGTAAGGCGGGTGAGTCATGGCAACTGTGACGTGGGTGGGTATGTGATCTCGGAGTCCGCGACTGCGTATGACCTGGAGTCGTCGTCCCATACGGCTGAGTGGTCCCATCGTGGTAGTCCGTTCACGCCACTCCTGCGGGATCAGTATGTAGTCGATCAGAGAAGCATGGGTCTCCGTGAAGAAGGTAGGTCGCCATTTATCCTGTGTGCCCACTGCAAATAGGTGATGTCGTTCGGCCAGCTCGCGGACTCGTTGGCCCGCCCCTCCTGGTAAGCGCTCTGGGGCCCCTCCTGGGCCGACCGCCCAGCTGTGCCTTGGCTCACCCTTAGGGGTCTGTCCCAGGCCGTCATTGAGGTCACCTCCGATCACGATCGAAGTGTTCGTACCACTACTTGTGACCTGTTGGTCGATCCAGTCGGTCAGGGCAGTCACAATACGCATGTACAGTTGGCGTTCCCGTGCGGTACGTGGTTGTGGACAATAGTAGACACATATGTATTTGGTCCGTCGTTTACCCAGAGATAGTGTAACTGCTATACCTCTACCGTGTAGTTCCGATGGTGGTTCTGCCGTGTCTAGTAACTGCGCATGCTTCCATTTACCCCGCCAGAGAATCATACACCCCGTAGATTTATTGCTGTAGGCTGCTCCCTCTCTCCATCCTCCCTCCACAAATCTGCACCCTCCCTCCCCTTCGCTGGCTATGTAGCCCATCTCCATGGACTCACCTGGGCGCCGGCGTCTCCCCGTCCCTGCAAGACCCACTATGTCGAAGTTCCTCGCTTCTGTGCAGATCTCCTGTAGACGGTCCGCGGCACAATGCATAGGGTTGTAAAGAAGCACTGCAAGAGAGGTAGCCACCGCCCGGAGCCGCCCCCTGAAGTAAGGTTTTAGGGGCATGTATGTGTGAGCAGTGGAGGGGTAAGTGTCCTCCTACAGTCCTGCAGCCACCCTGGATCACCGCTTGACCTCGCGGTGGCTTAGGAGGGAGGAGGAGGAGGAGGAGGAGGACCAAAAGCAACCCAAGGCGCAGGAGGATTTTCGCAATTGGCCGGGCCAGGTGGCCGCACGGGTCATGCAGGACGCCGCGAACTCCTCGCCCCCCTCATCCGCCTCTTTCTGCTGCTCCTCCTCCTCCTCCTCCTCCTCCTCCTCCTCCTCCTACTCCTGAGTCTCGCCTCGATCGCTCTGCATGCCGGATCGCGCTTTGGCGCTCCCGATGTCTGGCAGGGGCCTCCAGAGGCCGACACTTATAGCTCAGAAGCCTCCCGCCGTGAGGTGCTTTCTCCTGGCCCGAGGGAGGCCCGGGGATGCCTGGAGAGGACCACCACCATCATCATCCAATCATCAAACCATCATCATCCCCACCATCAGCATCACCACCACCACCACCATCATCAGCTGCATCATCATCAGCAGCAGCATCATCATCATCGGCACCACCACCATCATCACCATCAAATCATCAAACTAACCACCATCACCATCACCATCACCATCATCATCATCATCATCACCATCCATCATCATCATCATCATCATCATCATCATACCCATCAGCATCAGCATCATCATCAGCATCAGCATCAGCATCAGCATCAGCATCAGCATCAGCATCAGCATCAGCATCAGCATCAGCATCATCATCATCATCACCATCACCATCACCATCATCATCATCATCATCATCATCATCATCATCATCATCATCTCCATCATCAGCAGCATCACCATCATCATCCTCATCATCATCATCCTCATCATCATCAACAGCATCATCAGCATCATCTAACCATCATCACCATCAGCATCTTCCTCTTCCCACCCCGCCCACACCCTCTGCCCCGTCCACGTTCTCCGCCGCATCTCCGTCCTCGCCCCGATATCTCACCCTGAACATCCCCCTGATGCTCTTCCTCGTCCTCATCCTCCCCCCCTCCGAAACAACCCCCGTGGCATTCAGTCGGGCGTGTCCCCCTACAGGGGGATTTTCGACGAAAAATAAAACATACCCCAAACATACCCCAAAAAGGTAACAACAAAATAATCAAAGAATCGTCCCCAGACTATTTCTGAACTATTTTTTGACTATTTTGGGGGTATCTTTTATTTGTCGTCGAAAATCCCCCTGTAGGGGGACAGGCCAGACTTGACCCTGGCATCCTCATCCGCCAGCCCCCTCTCTGGCGGCCCGGGAGGTGGAACGGGCCCGCATCCAGGAGACATGAGCCTGGACCTCTGGCTGCTCAAGCAAAATCGCGTCAGAGTTATTCGCTTCGGGGCACGAAGTCCTGACTAGAATTGCAAAGCAATGCTGGCCGTGGTGACTCGAGGCCTCGCCGAGGCCAACAACAGAAACTTAGTTTGTTTCGAGCGACCCACGCCCGAGAACGCGAGGCGGGATTCCGAGGGAGCACCAGCAAACTGGGGGCCTGGTTGTTGCGATAACCAGCAGTCATTCGCCGAAGGCAGAGGGTGGGATGCCCAGGGGCCACTGGCACACTCCTGGCGGCCGCTGTGTGCAGGACGTCTCGGGCGGCTCGGGAGCTCTCTCCTGAAATTCTACCAGCCCCTCGACCCACGAGCCTTGATCTTCGACCCACGAGCCTCGATCTTCCTGTCGGCTGGGGGGCTACCTCGACCCACGAGCCTTGATCTTCGAAGGTCTGGGAAGCCAGCCCTCCTTCCCCCGGGGAGGGCATGCGGCAGGGGTGGGCAAGCGGCGCCCTGCGGGGGAGCCTCCGTGGCAGTGGCGCCGCTCCGCCGGTGCACGCGCCAGCACCCGTGGAGCCGGTCGCGCTGGGTCGTCGGCTCGAGCGCCCCGGAGTGGGGCCTCCCCTGCCCGGGCCCCAAGCAGGGGAGAGGCGGGAGGCAGCTCCTGGGAGGAAGTTTTTTTTCTATACTTTCGGCCTCCTCCTCCGCCTCCTCCTCCTCCTCCACCGCCTTCGCCTCCTCCTCCTCCTCCTCCACTTCCTCCTCCTCCTCCTCCTCCTCCCCTCCTCCTCCTCCGCCCTCCATCGCAAGGAAACGGTTGAAACCTACTGGGCCCGCCTGTTTGGACGCCCAGAATGGGTACGGAAAAAAATGTGTACAATGCCCAACAACAAATGTTGTCCCAAACCAACAGCGGCCGCTGTTTGGCGGGCGGCCTTCTGTCTCAAATTGACACACGCCGAGGCGGCACGGACAGCGAGTCCTGTTCAAAATGAACAGGAACTGCTGTTGGGCATCGTACCCATTATTTCCGTACTCACTTCGGACGTCCAGAACTGGGCCCGACTGGGGGGCTCAATGCTCGGCTCGGACGAAGCCTAGGATGAAACCGCACAGAGCGGCACTGGCGGAGCGCAAATGGATTCAGCGGGGCTGAAGAACTTGACACCGGCCGTCGACCACGGAAATACCAGCACCGATGCTGAATGTAAGCTCCCAAGGGTCACATCCGAAGGTCGCATTCGATCGGGCATGTCCTCCTGTAGGCAGACTTTGGAAGACAACTAAAACATAGTCAAAGCATCCTCCCACACAGTTCAATAATAAGCGAAAGCTTCTCCCCAGACCATCTTCAAAACTAGTCTCGAACACACCTCCTGCAGAGGGACGTGCCCGACCTACGTTAAGGGAGCAGGGTCGACTACCGATATTGTCACGGGATGTCGTGCTGCTCTGGGCTTCTCGGGAGCGGCCCAGAGGGGGGTGTCCAAGAGGGCGGGGTGCAAATCATGACCGGCGGCATGTGCGCGGCCCAGCGGGGGGGCCAGGGGCGCAACGAAATAAGAAGAGGCGCCATGATGAAATCTGGGGAGATATCATGGCCCACAATAAGAGGAGGCGCCGTGAAATCTGGGGAGATATCATGGCCCACGCCATGATGTCCTCCCCCCCCCCCTAGTCATCCCCGCCCCTCTTCTCCGCCCCCGAGCTTCGTGGGGCGCCCTCGTGGCCCTGGCTGGCCGCCCGAAAAGCCCTGGCCAGCACGCGCCCCCGGGAGAGGCTGGGCGCTCGGCCTCAAGCGGACTGGGCGTGACTTGAAACGGGGGGGTCATGAACGGGGGGGGGTCAGAAACGGTCCCCTTTCGTGCCCCTTTCGGGCTCCTCCAGAGCCCCGGGGGGCTCGTTTCGGTACCGTCTGGGTACCTTTTCGGACCACCCTCGCCAACCCCCCCCCATCTACGATCCCCCCACTACGCGACGCCCAAGCGGAGGCGGGCCCACGCCTGCGGCCGCCGGCGCAAGGCCACGACGGCTGCTTCTCCAATTTTTTCCAGGGCGGACAGGTACCAAAATAGTTATTCGGATGCGAATTTATGGCGGTCGGGATCCGGGGGGGGGGAGAGGGAGGGTCCTCATTTTTTGTACTCGGTTCTGGACATTACCGAGGCCCAGCCTGGACCCCCAAGGCCGCCAAGCAACAGCCCGCGAAGAGCACCGGGCCCCAGGAGCCGAAGGGTTCGAGAGGCCCATGCCACAACAAAAAGCCGAACTGGGCACAGCAAATCTGCCACCGTGCCTCTGGCACGAAGTGGAGTGCCCTAAGGCTCATGCGGCATTGAGGGGTAGACGCTGTGCTGCTGCTGCTGCTGCAGCGAGAACTGTAAGTCTTGAGGGCCCAGACCAATCGTTTTCCAAACCTCCCCGTGGTTTTTCGGGATGGCTCCCGCCATTTCTGAGGTGTTCTCTGCGCCTCCTGTGGGCGCTGTGCCCCCAGAAGCGACCTCCCGAACTCTCCTATGAGTCCAAGATGGCCCCGAGTCGCCGAACGATCGCCCCAAGACGCCCAAGATGGCCTCAAGATGGCCCAAGAGGCCTCGAAGACATCACAAGAGGCCTGCAAGAGGCCTCCCAAGAGGCAACAATCAGTGGTATTCTGTGTTTTAACGGACCGAAGAGGCCCCCAAGACCACCCCAAGACGGCCCAAGAGGCCTCCAAAAGGGCCCCCCAGACAGCCTAAGAGCGCCCCAAGACGGCCCATGAGGCGCACAACACGGCACAAGTGGGTCCGGAGACGGCCCCAAAAGGTACCCAAGAGCAGAAACACGATGGACAATCCGAGCATTCCTCTTCAAGAGGCCCGGAGGAGGCCCCGCGGAGGCCCCAAGAGGCGCCCAAGAGGTACCAATAGGCCCGCAAGAGGCGCCTACGAGGCCCCAAGAGGCCTCCAAGAGGCCCTCAAACGGCCCTCAAACGGCCCTCAAGAGGCCTCAAGAGGCCCCCGAGAGGCACCCAGCGAAATCCTAACAACCATTCGCTAGGCTTTCTACTCACAACCCAGGCACGGTGGCGGGATGGGCCGAAGGCCATTCCATCCGCCGCCCCCTGTCGATTCATCGCAGGGATGCCTGGCGTGCTAAATTATTTCGGTTTTGGTTTGGGCTCTTTTTCCAGAAAAAAAATCCCCCTGGGGCTTCGCCCCGTCCCGCCAGCCACCCGAAAAGACTGCCCGGCTTGCCCGGAGCCGGTTGCCAAGGGTCTTTCCTGCTCCAGACGGCTCCAAGACGGCCCAAGATGGTCTCCAAGACGGCTAAGATGGCCCCAAGATACCTCCAAGACGGCCTAAGATGCACCCAAAACGGCCTCAGATGGCCTCAATGTGGTCCCAGACGGCCCAAGAGGCCCCCAAGAGGCCTCCAAGACAGCCTAAGAGGCCTCGAACAAAGAGGCCCCTCAGACGCCCAAGATGGCCTCCAAGACGGCCAAGATGGCCTTCAAGATGCCTCCAAGACGGCCAAGACGGCCTCCAAGACGGGCGAATATGGCCCCAAGATGCACCCAAGACGGCCCCAGATGGTCTGAAGATGGCCTTACACTGCCCGAAAAAGCCCGCCAGAGGCCTCCAAGACGGCCCCAAACCCCTCCAAGACGTCCTCCACGAGGCCCGAAAGCTCAGAAACAACCTGGTCCAATAGCTCGCCTGACTCCATGTTCCACGAAGGCTTTCGAAACCCACTCGGGGAACGCATGGCCCGATAGCTTGGCCAAGCTCAAACCCCCAACTTTCGGCCCCGCGGGCGCTTCCTAACTAAGGGGCAGGGGGCGGCGGCGATTCGCCGTAAACGTCTTCGAGACATGCAATCCGTGATTTTGCTCCACACTTGCTTGCTCATTCTGGGGACCTTCCTGGAGCCACTCGCTCCACTCGTGCGTCGAAGCTGCGTCGAACCTGAGTCGAACCTGAGTCGAACCTGCGTCGAACCTGAGTCGAACCTGAGTCGAATCTGAGTCGAATCTGAGTCGAACCTCAGTCGAACTTGAGTCGAAACTGAGTCGAACAGATCCGTTGGGTGGGCTCCAGGAAGGTCCCCGAAACGAGCATCGAACCACAGTGTTCGTGTGCCGTCGGCCTGAAGTTCCCAGAGGTCCCAAGGCTTGTGGGGGTCCCTTCGGGTCGGGCGAAAGGGGGGGATAGCAAAGGGGGGGTTTGAGAATCAGCTCACGTAGCTGATTTTCCCGGCGCCTCCCGGCGCCGGGGGCGGCTATGTATCGAGGAATGGGCCCCTCGGTGAGGCCGAAACCAGCTGCATGCAGCAAATTTCGTAACCCCCCTTTCCCAATCCCCCCCTTTCGCCCGGCCCGATCCCTGGGGCCATCGGAGGACACGGAGCTTCTGTCACTTATTATCTGGTGGGAGGCCGGTCTCTCATCTGATGCGCCTGCCGTATACAGGGGAGGGGCCCTCCTCCTTCTCCTGCTCCTGCTCCTCCTCCTCCTCCTCCTCCTCCTCTCCTCCTCCTCCTCCTCCCCCTCCCCCTCCTCCTCCTCCTCCTCCTCCTCCTCCTCCTCCTCCTCCTCCTCCTCCTCCCCTTCCCTCCTCCTCCTCCTCCTCCTCCTCCTCCTCCTCCTCCTCCTCCTCCTCCTCCTCCTCCTCTCCATCACATCTCCCTCACGTTTTCATCGTCCTGTCTTGTCATCCCCCTTGGTTTCTGCCACCCTTTACGAGAGCGGTCGAGAGGGAGACCAGGGGAGGGAGGCAGCGAGGTGGAGGAGGAAAGGACACGAATCCTAATACATATCATAGCGCACGGCCGCATAGCGTGTACGGCCTGACACGGCCGCCCTGGATAGGCAAGTGGAACTGGTGACGCTGCCCTCTGAGACCAACGGTAAGCGTTTTCTCAATGCTGACGGCACATGGCGACATGATGCCATGGCGTGTAGAAATCAAATGTCTGACCTGGAGGTGGACAAGGCCCATTCGCCCGATTGTCTCGAAAGCTCATTCTGTCGCTGGCAATAGAGGCTTCACATGCTGGCTGAGCTCGTATTTGAGATTGGTTGTTTTCGGCGGGTAGCCAACTGTGCTTAAAACCTTTTTACCGGGCCTGGCACATGTGACACACTGTGTACGCTATCGTTGATCAACCGATCATGCACAAAGCACGGTAGCACGTAATGGTCTCAACCATCTACGTCGAGCCAGCACGGTATATTTACAGTTGGCGAGCAGCGAATAGCATACACAGTATATATATATATGTGTGTATGTATGTTTCTGCGCGTCTACATATACATGCACACACGTATACACGTATACAAACATGTATATATATATACATCTATAGAAAACTACATACGTATGCATGCATAGATGTATGCAGACGCACTTGCAAGGATGCGCCACTGCACAGCGCTTGTATGATGGGTGCTGTATGGCAGTGAAATGGAGAGATGAGTGCAACAGTAACAACAAGCTGAAGCGGAGGGCAGAGCGAGAGTTGATGCTTGGTCCGAGCGTGCAGCTGCAAGACATGATTCGACCGCTTACGTGAGCATGATGCTTACTCATTGTCGCTTGGCCCCCGCTTGCGGCCAGGCCTCATACTATCAGACCTACTGCATCAAGCAGTCTCGGACTCCCTCCCCTACGTGCCCGAGAAGCAATGGATCTGTATAACGAGCTGGCCTCCAGCGAGGCCCGATGTTATCCATATCCACTGTACCCCTGGTGCTTCCGGCACCCTCTCTCTCAACACATCGAAGATGCCGTGGACATGTGCGTAACGTTAAGTCGGGCCTGTCCCCCTGCAGGGGGATTTTCGACGAAGAATAAAAACTACCCCTAAACTAATCCTAACATAATCCAAAAATGGTCTAGGGACTATGTTGTGAATATTATTTTGGCCATGTTGGGGCAACTTAGGGGTATTTTTCATTTTTCGTCGAAAATCCCCCTGTAGGGGGACAGGCCCGACCTAAGCGTAACGCTTGCGCGCACCTCTGACACATCCAGGCGTGGACACGGACGAGGAGGGAGGAGGGCGAATGTCGCAAGTGGTTACCCGGAGGTCTCGAGCACCCCCAAAAGCCCTCAGGAGACCCCACGCAGACTCACGACATCGGCCCTCGACCCCCGAGGAGGATGGAAGGCGAGGCAGGGGTCTTCGCCGTGCACCCTGCCCCGGCGCCAGTGCAGCACGACCGACGCGACGAGCAGGACCGCAGCGCACGCGCCGATCAGGCCCGTCAGGTGGAGGTACCTGCGGGCACTTCGCCGTCCCGTGGGCACACGCAGGCGGGAGGAACAGCAGGTAGGGGCAGGAGAGGGAGCAGCGGCGAGGAGGAGGGAGGAAGGAGCGAGGAGGAGGGGGAGCCAGAAGTAGCGAGCTTGGAATGAGGTTGGGAGTGTCGAGCGTTGGGGAGCATGATGTGGTGGGGGAACTACATCGGCGTTGTCGTTTCTATGTTCACGACATCTGAACTCCGAGGGGGCATGGTGTGGTGGAGGAAATACATCGGCGTTGATGTTGTGTTCACAACATCTGAACTTGGACGTCGTGAGTTTGTTTCACGACGCGAGCCCCATACTGTTCCAACCCATCGATCTCCACAGAAGATGTCGGGATCTCCCAGCTGTAGCGTGCAAGTTGTGAGAACACCTGGCGTGATCCATCCAGACCGCCCTAGACGCACGTCTGGTGATGCGATGAGGAATTGAAAGGAATGGGGAGATAGAACCAAAGAAGGAGAACCATGTTCTCCACGCGATGGAACTGAGCGCCTCGTCCTCAGACGCTGCATACCGCCACAGCGAAATCGCACCAGCGCGAGGTGGAGGATTGCATGATGACCGCCGAGCAACAGAGTCCTAGAGCATGATGGCCGCCAGGCAAAGAGTCACGTCACGAAGCGGAGGCAAGGCAGAGAAATGACACGAGCCTCGTGAAGCAAGGCCTGAGGTACAAAGTACACGAGCCACCCACATGGCCAGAGGATGCGGACGAGGATGAAGCGCCAGCGAACCTATAGCGGGCGCAAACTGCACCCCTGTTGAAGAGGATATGGAGAGCGAGAGAGAGAGAGAGAGGGAGAGTGAGAGAGAGGGAGGAAGGAGGAGAAAACGAGAGAGAGAGAGAGAGAGAGACACACACACACACACACACACACCACGCACAACACAAGCTCAGCTATAGCATACCCCTGGACAGACACGCAAGCAAAGTATAAGTCTGACATCGCTGCGTGGCGGCCTCGCGCCGCGCATGGGCCCAGCGCCATGGCTTGGGCTGGCTGCCAGCGGCCGAGCCCGGGTCCAGCACACGCAAGTGATTCAGCGATGGGCTGGGCTGCTGACCACCAGGTCCCGAGAAGCAGAAACAAAAACAGAGCGCAGACAGGAGGGAGGCGAGTGGTCGGAACAGAGGCGCGCAGGATGACTGACAGGGGCGCGAACACTACGGAGGCAACAGACTGGGGATCGAAACAAGGAGGGAGAAGCAGGAGGACACGAGTGCAAGGTTTTTTTTTTGGAGGGGGGGGGATGCAGAAAGGGGCGACACGAGGAAAGAAGGGTGAGGGGAGACGAGGCCTGCCGCGACACCTGGCCCCGAGGCGCCTCCTGATGCTCCTGCCGAGGCGTGCACAGTTTCATAGTCGTCTCGGACCAGATCACGACCACGAGGCGAGCGCTCGTCGCCACGGCGGCCCTTGACGCGAGGTGCAGCCGGTCACGCCAAATGTGACCTCATCGCTGCACGGGGTGCGCGTCGTGTGCATGGCCGGCGCCGAACTCGGGCCGCTGCGGCAGAACGCGGCCGTGGCTGCGCCCCGGACCACCAAGGCGTGCTCCACGTACCCCCCGCTGCCATGCGACCCCGCGTGCCGGCAGGAGGAGGAGGAGGAGGAGGAGGAGGAGGAGGAGGAAGACGAGGACGAGGACGAGGACGAGGAGGAGGAGGAGGAGGAGGAGGAGGAGGAGGAGGAGGAGGATGGAGGGGCGTGCCGTGCCAGTCGTTCGCCCGGTGGTTGCCCGTGGGCGCCCCGTGCGCTGCCTGGGTGCTGCGATGTCTTCGCGGGGCGGCCGCCCGCGGGCGCCCCATGCGCCAGCTGGGTGCTGCGGGTTCTTGCTCGACCGCGGCTCGTGGGCGCCTCGTGGACGCCCTGTGCGCGCTTGCTGCGCGTCCTGGTGCTCGCCCCGTGGCGGGGCCCTGGGCGTGTCGCGGGCGCCCTCGTGCGCTGGTCGGGCGCCCGGGAGTTTCGCCCCGTCGCCGCCCGCAGGCGCGCCGAGGGCGGGCGCCCCGCGCGGAGGCTGGGCGTGGTGGGGTTTCGCGCGGTCGCCCCGCCCGTGGGTGCCTCGTGGGCGCCCCCTTGCGCTGGCTGGCGTTGAGGGGGGTGCGCACGCAGATTTCTATTCAGCCTCGAACATATCCCTATCCCTAAGGTGGGCGAGCAAAAAGCGAGGACAATCTCAGGGATAGGCCCTCAGAAACTGAGGGAATATTTGAGATCGGCATCGAGGTGAGGTGATGTCAAACATAGGGACAGGGATATGTTTCAAACTGGTGAATTTCGTGTCGGACAGAAGAATGTTGGCCAGCGCGGGCCCCAAACAATGCGCTCTTGCAGCATGCGCGGCGCAGTACAGGGTTGTGGAGTCAATGTGGTGCAGGCTGGGCTGTGCAACCCACGTGTCGCGAAGCGATGATGCCAAACAACGCCGCGCAATGCAGAACCATGCAAAGCCATGCGGAACCATGCGAACACACAGACTCACCCAGGCGCACCAATGCAAAACAATGCAAGGCCATGCGAAGAAATGGACAAATATGCAAAACAACGCAAACCAGTGCAACAATGCAAAGCAATGCGAAACAACGCGGCGTCTGGCGGCGATGAGCTGGCCTGACCGCCACCTGGACCCAACGGCGACGGTGGCGACGAACGGCGACAAAAATGGCGACTGTTTCGCAATTCGCAGCCCACAAGCATGGCGAGATCGAGTGTAGAACGTCACGCGCTGAACCCTACACACACGCTCGAAAAACGGTGACATCCTCGCGCATCGAAACCCCCAAGGATGCCCAGGTCTAATCTGAATCTGCGCGGGGCGTCACTCAACCGGACCGCCCAACAGCCCTCGAACGTTACGACATTTTCTCAGATCGCAGACCCCCAAAGATGGCGAGGTCTAATTTCTGTCTGCGTGGGGCGTCACTCCGCTGAGCCCCCCAGCAACCGTCAAAATTGACGACATTTTCGCAAAGGTCAGCCACCCAGGGATGGCGAGGTCAAATTTATGTTTGCTTGGGACGTCACTTCGCCGGACCCCCCAGCAGGCAGCCCTCGAAAGTGGCGACCGTTTCGCAGATTGTAGCCCCCCCCCCAGGAACGGTGAGGTCTAAGGTATGTCCGCGTGGGACGTTCCTGTGCTGGACCGCCCAGCAACCCTCGAAAGTGGCGGCATTTTCGCAGATCGCAGCCCCCCCAGGGATGGCGAGGTCTAAGCTAGGCTTTTGGTATGACGTCGCTCCGCTTGACCCCCCAGCAGCCTTCGAATGTCGCGACCGCTATGCAGTTCGCAGCCCTCCACGGATAGCAAAATCCAACTCACATGTGCGTGGGACGCCGCTCCGCTTGACCATGGGCAGAGGCTCGAAAATGGCGACGGTTACATAGATCGCAGCCCCCATGCGCACGCATGTCGAAAACGTTCAACCACCATCGAATGCCCTCTGTCAAATAATACAATGTGGGCCTCATGCGCGCGTCCGCCGCGCGCGGACGCCAGAATCACTCCAAAGCCAATGGGTCTGACAAGTTCAGCACAGGGGTGTTCAACAACATGCGCCCATGTCGTCGCCCTTGTGAGCGAGCACTTCGTCGTCGTCGTCATCACCATCATCATCATCATCATCATCATCATCATCATCATCATCATCATCATCATCACCAACCCCATCGCCATCATCATCGCCAACGTCATGGGTGTGTCGTCGTTATCATTCCGACTTCCTCCGTCACCATCACGGCCGTCGCCGTCGTAGTCGTCCTTACCATCGGCAACATCATCATACTCAACACAATCATCATCATCGCCATCATCATCATCGTAACCGTCATCGCTGTCGAGGCAAATCAGTCTTGTTCCTCAACATTTTGCGGGTGGGTGGGTGGACTCTTTGCGCGAATGCTGACGACTACCAGGCTTGAAAAACCTAAACTCGCTTTCGTAAGCAGGAAATGAGCCTCTGCCTCCACCCCAAAACGACACAAGGGTGATCGGTACCCTTGCGCGTATTGGTTGTTCGGAAGCTACGCGTATACATATAAGCAGATTATCATACGCACCTGTCCAAAGGAAAACCACTCAGAAGCGCTTGACTGAAACCGTGCCGTTGATTCTAGCCGGTTGTCTCTGGACATCCTTCAGGTTCGTAAGCTCGGGCGTTCCCCTCACGCGGCTCGCGACAACACGGCCCGACAAACCAATGGATTTTCGGCAATTCAATTAACCACCTCCTAAATCACAACGAATGTGAATGATCTCCGGCGTCACTTTGAAAAAAACAGCCGTTTGGCACCAGACATCCCCCCAAAATTTAAAACCCGAAATGTTTACAGCTGCCCCCATGCTCTTGAAAAGCGATAGCTTCACTTGGATTCCGAATATCTTGTCAACTGCAGCCGTAAGGTGTAGTACCCCCTCCTCCGCCACACACATCGCAATGTGTGGCAGCCCCACCTGAGGTCGACTGCGATCCCGTTATGGCTCTTCATTCCCAACAGCCATCTAAAGATCCTCACTGCCCTCCTTCTTCGCTCCTCATCCTCCCCCTCCTTTTTGGATCCGACTTCATCTTCGTCTTCTTGTCCATTAGATGTGGTGCTTACGTGTTCCATGGTTTTTGTATGGGCCTGGGCACGCACGAGCCACTTACATCTACCACGGACGTGCATACTAAATCTAAGCTAACTTCACCGCTGCCAAGCTGGTATCGACCCCCCCCCCGCCATCTCCTGCCTCCAGAAACACTATGCAGTGCAGATGCGTTGATCTAAAACTAGCTAGGGCCAAAGAACCCTTTTGCAACACCTGGGGTGCCGAACACTTTCGCGCGTGGCCGCGCGTGCACGTCAACATCATGCAACAACCATTGGATCTCACACAATCCGGTGGAACTCCCGATCTGGCTACGAACCGTGTGCGGAGTGTGCCGAAATCGGAGGGGAACCGCACGCGAACTCTGCAAGTCGAGCACAC